CAGTTTTTGGTATTTTAAAATCGGTTCGGTAGGATGAGCTTAAATGTCGACGAAAATTTAACACTTTTTTCAACAGTTAATTACAAGAAAACGGCTCGGTAGATTTTCACCTAAAATTAATCAGTATCATTCCCAACTAATATCTTTCAAACAAAAAATCTGTTCACACACACGCACACACCACACACAACTTTTTCCAAATTTGCTCTCATTTCGATTCAGAATAGCTTGAACCGTCGAGAAAACAAAATTAGCCGAATCGGATTTTTTGATGAAAACATAAACTTCTCCTTTGGCATTTAAAAATTGATGAGCATATGTCTAATAAAGAAATTTTGACCGCCAAATAGATTTTTTTTTACTTCTTTTACGAAATCTTCAAAACCGCTAGAATCCGCCTTCTCAAAAATTAATCAGTTTTTCATCTTGTTAGACATGTTGATACCGATAAATGTTTTTTAATCATTAAAATCGGACGCTCCGTTCTCCTAAAAACTGAGTTGCCGTTTTTGGGCATTTCTTGCCCCGTATACGAAACGGCTCGACCTGCCTTTATTAAAAACTAATCAGCATACCCCTCCAAAGGTATAATTAAGTTTCGTTTAATTTAATTCTCATGTAAACATATATAAACACTATGGTCCAATTTATAATCATTTATGTTTTGCCTATAAAATACGATTAATGAAAGTTATGGTACTTAGTTATGGTACTTAAAATAAAATATTTTTAGAGCACTGATAAATGGATTTGAATAATTTAAAAAACATTCGATTCATATTAAAAATCAGTACCAGCTCTGATGATCATATAATTTTTTTTTTTCACTTACTCAGAATTTGGGATAAATTATTGGTCAAAATTAGACCGAACAAAATATTATCACAAATTATATATTTCGCACACGACTCCATCTTCTTAAACTGAGCTAACCACTTCGCAACATCCAAGAGAGCTTTTATGAAATTTAATAATAAATTTCCGAAGCCTGTTTCTATCCGAAGTACAAGGGCAGACATTAAATTCGTTACGTTCATGAATAATTGATGATGTGTAATCTAAGCCCCTTGTTCGACATGACAATGTTTGTGTAAGGCCAATGCTAATATGTGCTCATAATTTCCTCATAGAACTGATTTACTTTGTATCTTCAGTAATTTATCAGTGAATTATTATACTAGGTCGTGGTTAATAAATCCATAAAATTAATCGAATAAATTGTAGTACATTTGATAAAAATCAATCAAGTAAAAATAAAATTTATTTTAGCACAAAATGGATTTATTCTCGTAATTTCTACCGAAGCCATCAATTTAGCTACGTCAAAGGAATTCATTTATTGAACCTATTGATGGATTCGTGCCTATTATGAGATTTGCATGAAATATTTTAGATATCTGTCATTCAAATTGTTTGACCGATGCAAATGCAAATAGGTATGGTTGTGAATCGAGCCGTTTGTTTGTAATCAAGGCAATTATAATAGGATTGCAAATAGAGTAAGTGGTCATTAATATTCATTGCGGTCCTTAATTGTTTTTAAAATTCGATTTGCTAATTTTATGTTTCGACGTTCAAGCCATTCTGAATCGAATAAACCCAAATTTGGAAAAAGTATGTGTGTGTGTGTGCGTGAATTTTTTTTCCGCAAATCGACGTTTTCTCAAAAACGGCTGCACTTTCGATGTATCTCGATGAGGACTATCGTTTTTCTGTATTGTGCGACGATCGCTTGAGCCGTTTTTTTTGTAAATCGCAGGGGTCAAATTTTTTTGTCCATGTTTTAGCCCGCAATTCTGAATTAATTTTGAAAATTCAAAAACCGTTCGAAAGATATCGATTGGGAATCGACCTGATTAGTTTTTGGTAAAGATCGGCCGGGCCGTTTTCTTGTAATGAAGAGTTAAATCTTTTTCGATGGTTTTTATGTTTTTTTTTTGCGGTAGATATAATAGTCTTATAGATCATACTAAATCATTACAGCTCTATGACAACTCGTTTAACTTCAAAATTTCGTCAAATTTTACAAAAAATAGACTCGTTTTTTTGTCATTAGTCAAAATTAGACATTTGATCGGCGTTTTCTCAGAAACGCCTGAACCGATTACAGTTTTAAACGACTATCTGCCGAGCCGTTTCTTTGTAATTTGGAAAAAGTGTTGAATTTGTCGTCCACATTTAAGCTCATACTACCGAATCGATTTTAAAAGATCAAAAACTGTTCGAAAGATTTTATTTGAGAATGATACTGATTAGGCCCAAATCTACTTTTTTGTAAGTTGTTTTTTTGTAATTAACTGTAAAAAAAATTAAGCTGATTTTTATGGAACTTTCTTTTGCGATATATATCTTGTTTTTATAGAACTTACTGAAATATTAAGGCTTTACGACAGTTAGTTTAATTTTAAAAAATCATCAATGTTTGAGAAAATGAGTAGTTTTTTTGACGTTTGTTAAAATTAAAATTAGACGATTTACTTGGTATAACGCTAGAGTACTCGTTCTAAATGGACATACTAAACCATTAAAGTCCTACGGAAACTGGTTTAATTATAAAAGTTATTGATTTTTAAAAATTTGGTTCTTTGGAGAAAATACTCAGGAGTGTTCGTTCATTTTCAATTATGTGTAATAAATCCATTCGGAATACTTTTAATCAGTCATAAATGGTCTGAATTGTACGTTGATACTCAATGACCATATAATATGTCATATAATTCACTGGTACCATTTTTGTACCTAGTATTTTTGTCTAGTACAGTGTAAAATAAAATATAGCAATGAAAATTCCAGCTAGTGTCAGAGGTCATATTTAGCATATCAAACACACAATATTATTGCATTCTTTCTCCTCTGAGCCATACCATACTGCCTTTAATTCCCTTTTTCCTTAAGGTCTATTTTTTTCATTCCGGTTTCGAATCTCGTTTCTTTGAACCGAACTGTATACCAGAATACCGTTCCGCTTTATTAATTTAGCTTCAGCGGAATATTGCGAAAGGAATGCAGCAAAACAAAGACTAGGATACAAAAAGACGATTCTTGCGACTTACTCAGCTAATTTAATTGGAATTTCCTTCCATCCAACATATGGTATTGAATGCATGGTGAATCAAAAGCCTGGCTTGATGTAATAATAGTAACATTGTGCTATTATAATATTATTGTGTAGTTTTGAATATGAGGCAATTAGCACGCAATTTAATAATGTAAAACAAACTGCATCGACTATGCTCAAATTTATGTAAGAGGATAAAAATAACTTGGTTTAAAATAGAGTTGTACGACCAAATTTGAAAAAAATTGACGAATTTTTATAATTCAACTGCTTATCGTAAGCATATAATATTTTAGTATGTTATTTTATATTGCAAAATGTATTGTCATACAAAGTTTCATCAAAATAGTCAAAACATTTTTTTTTAAATATTTGGCCAGCAGATCTTTACCAAAAACTAATCAACGCGATTCTAACCAATATTTTTCGAACAGTATTTACTAGGGAATGCAATACCGGTATACCGGTATACCGAATTACCGATAAACCGTCCGATTTTTCGGCGATATTTTTACCGGTATTTATTCCAAAAATACCGGTATTTTCGGTATTTATACATAAGCACTATTTGATACATATTACCCCAAAGTTTAAATTTCTCGGCACAAATTTATCTTTAAATTCCATAATCCCATAAACAGCTATATCTTCAAGTAATTCTATAGGATAACAAATGTCAAATATTATCTCAACTCGTCATTAAATTGAATATTTATTGCTATTCAAAGGGCTTCATATCGTGTTACAATAAATAAAATTGAACTGATAGATAATGATGTTTGTTTCATCTTTTGTAAAAATGTAACGGTTTTTTAAGTGATATTTGCGCCAAAATATTTTATATCATACAGATTACCCTTGCATAATCTTTATTTTATTCTAACTTTATACATAATAATTATGATAATTACTAAATATTTTTGCTTCTTATTACAATTATAAAATATTATTTTTCGAAAACATTTCAAAGTTTCAAAATACTATAGAAGCATCACATTGTTTTAAATAACAATACTCAACAATTATAGTAACTTATTGTTTATCTCGACAAAGTATCCGGTCTTAAATTAGTGTAGAAAAATTATTTTTTTAAAATATTAGAGATTATGCTAATTTAACACATCGGATACAGACAATACAGTTTATTATAATAATGTAGTATGATCTTTCATGAGTTTTTGGTCTTTCTTACTCATAAGTTTGTTTTTGGTGAAAAGTACTTAATATACTCGATAGTGATAATGAATTAATTAAATTGGATATACTTTTGTTGAATTATTATTTAAAAAATAAACTTATTGTTTTATTTTATTGTTTTTATTGCTTAGTTGAATATAGTTGTAGTTGTATATAATTTTTTTTATATTTGTACTAGTAACTTTCTATTTTGTTTACGTTTGTTTAAGATAATATAAATACCGGTAATTTACCGGTATTTCCGGTTTTAAAATGAAAAATTACCGAAATACCGGTATTGAAATTTTCCATCGGTATCGCATTACTTAGTATTTACTTTTCAAAATATATTCAAGATTATGGGCTAAGACGTGAATGAAACATTTTACACTTTTCTGATTACAAATAAACGGCTTGGCCAATCGTCGTACAAGTTTTTTTTAAAACTAACATCAAACATACATATTTTACCGATTTTGGCGTGAACGATTTAGAATGACTTGAACGTCCACAAAATAAAATAAGCAAGTCCAATTTTGTAGCAAAAATATAAATATTTAGATATTAACTTGAGATTATATTTGAGAATTATAACCTCGTCAAAATTTGATATCATACTGTTTGATATTGAGCAGTCCGAGGTTGGAATCGACCCTGAAACTCATATGTGCTGGTCCACATTTGTAACCATCTCACTACTATAATTATTTTAAAAATAAACAACTATGGATTATGTTTACTTAGAGTGTTATTTCTTTCTTTTCAGAATTTCCGAATGCGGATTTAAAACAACGTTCTAGAAGATCTCATTCGCGAAGTTCGAAAGGAAGCAATGTCAATTCCATAAGCAGCGCAGGCCAAAACGGGGTCTTTGTTACGGGAAATGCAACAAGAGTAGTCGCACAGAGAAACGGCTTGGCAGTCCTTCCTTGTACTGTGAAGAGATCCACCCAAGGAACGGTCAGTAAATAAAAATTATAAGTAGATACACGTTTAATTGTACACCAGTTTATCTGTCAACCAAATTACATATCTACCGGTTTATATGATCACCATATTACATATCCACCTCTTCACCGGTTTACTCTTTCACCAGTTTACTTGTTAACCAGCTTGTTCGTTCACCAGCTTACCTGTTCGTCAGCTTACTTGTTCACCAGCTCACTCGTTCAACAGCATACCGGTTCGCCAGCTTACTCGTTCACCAGCTTACTCGTCCATCATTTCACTCGTTCACTAGTTTAAATGTCTGCCAATTTATCTATTCTACAGGTATACAGTTTACCTGTATACCTGTTTAAGTACATATCTATCTACCTACCGCCGAGAAAATTTGCATGAACGTCATTTTGTGTCGAAGGAGTCTAGTTGATCATAAATTAGTTTTTAATTAATAATCTTATCCTTAGACTTTAAAACAACTTTTTGGTAAAGCTGTATGTATTTATCAACAATTCTTTAATTTCTTATGTGTCATTATTAGGGAATGCAATACCAGTATACCGGTATACCGAATTACCGGTAAACCACCTGATTTTTCGGCGGTATTTTTACCGGTATTTACCCCAAAAAGACTGGTATTTTCCGTATTTTTACATAAGCGCTATTTGATACATAGTACACTAAAGTTTAAATTTCTCGGAACAAATTTATCTTTAAATTCCATAATCGCATAAACAGCTATATCTTCAAGTGATTCTATAGGATAAACAAATGTCAAATATTATCTCAACTCGTCATTAAACTGAATATTTATTGCTTTACTAAGGGCTACATATCGTATTACAACAAATAGAATTTGACTGATAAATAATGATGTTCGTTTCATCTTATGTAAAAATGTGACGGTTTTTTAAGTGACATTTCCGCTAAAATATTTTATATCATACAGATTACCCCTGCGTAATCTTTATTTTTTTCTAACTTTATACATAATAATTATGATAATTACTAAATATTTTTGCTTCTTATTACAATTATAAAATATTATTTTTCGAAAACGTTTCGAAATTTGAAAATACTATATAACCATTGTTTTAAATAACAATACTTAACAATTATAGTAACTCATTATTTATCTCGACAAAGTATCGGATCTTAAATTAGTGTAGAAAAATTATTTTTTTTAAATATTGGAGATTATGCTAATTTAACATATCGGATACAGACAATACAGTTTATTATAGTAATGTAATATGATCTTTTATGAGTTTTTGCTCTTTCTTACTCATAAGTTTGTTTTTGGTGAAAAGTACTCAATAGACTCAATAGTGATAATGAATTAATTAAATTGGATATAATTTCGTTAAATTATCATTTAAAAAAATAAACTTATTGTTTTATTTTATTGTTTTTATGTATTTTTTTTATTGTTTAGTTGATTAGAGTTGTGGTTGTATATACATTTTTTTATATTTGTACTAGTAACTTTCTATTTTGTTTACGTTTGTTTAAGATAATATAAATACGGGTAATTTACCGGTATTCCGGTTTTAAAATGAAAAATTACCGAAATACTGGTATTGAAATTTTCCATCGGTATTGCATTCCCTAGTCATCATTATAATATTTTCAGGTGACGTGGATCCGCAGACGAGACTTCCAGCTCTTAACCGTTGGCACGGCGACTTATTCAAGCGACGAGCGATTTTTCGTTGAACATGTTCGCCATTTGGGCAACTGGCCTCTTCAAATAAAGTCTGCTAAGCTGGAAGATGCCGGCACGTACGAGTGCCAGATTTCGACGCACCCGCCTGCCAGCATTTTTATACACCTCAAAGTAGTAGGTAAGGAGAAAACTACGTCAGTACATACATATATGTATGTATATGTTACATATATAAATCGTATATATCATATTTTATATTTACAGAAGCCGTAGCTCAAATCACGGGAGCGCCCGATCTGCACATAAGAGAGGGTTCTACTTTACGACTAGTGTGCTCGATAAAAGGAGCGACGGAAGCGCCTTTATATGTTTTTTGGTGAGACATAATTTTGTAGTTAACTTTAATAAACTCTATATATATATATATATATATATATATATATAATTTTCATGCGATGATGCTTTTGACAATATTCCTCTGAAACGTTGACCGATTTTTATGCAATCTTCATACTCAACGTGACCGAGAAGGGGGTATCTATTTTACTCAGGTTTATTTTATGTTTCTTAAACATTTTATAATTTATGACTAAACATGTAACCTTAAATGTTCTCCTTTCTATCAAAAACTCCTATTTCGCAACAGTCGTTTCAGTGATCGAATCGCTTTCCACCCCGGTTTTCAGTCATTGAATGATTTTGATTAAAGTGTAATTTAAATTTTCTGAAACTTATGCAAAATGCTTAAATATTTTCTACTTTAATTTTTTTAAAGCGCAATTGAACAATACATACAACTCTAATTTTTGGCCCTGCATATTAGTCATTTTGGTAGTCTAAACATTTTTCATCTAGCTCGATAACCGATCAATTTGTTTTGTGAACATTTTTCATTGAATTTTGATCAAGATTTATTTTGATCAAGAGCTTATTATAAAGCTTAAATTTATTCGCTCTGATTCTATATCCAAGTTTGGCGGCAAAAAGGTTATCATCGATAAAATTAGATACTTCAGAATATCGATCAGTAAGCAATTATCATCAGATTTCAATATTTTTACATTTTTTGTTAAAATGACAATTTCTGCAATCTATCCCTATTTCATAATACTCATTTTAGTGGTCTCATTATTTTTCATCTTTCTGGATAACCGATTCTTTCTTTTGTGAACATTTTTCATTGAATTTTGATCAACATTTTCTTAACTTATGAAAAAGCATAAATTTATCCGCTCTGTTTGCTGAAACATTTTCAAAACAATTTTTAGATTATGGCAACAAAAAGGTTAACATCGACAAAACTAGATATGTAATAACATCGATCAGTAAGTATCTTCAGATTTTAATATTCAATTTATATATTTTTTTGACAAAATGGCTCTTTCTGCAGGCCATTCAAGAACTTAATTTTGTGGTCCACATCGGAAAAAACGATTTTGAAATATCGATAGATAATTTTACGCGTCTAGTTTTATCGATTGTAATTTTTTTGCTGCTTTTCAATTTTTTTTTTTTTTTTTTTTTTTTTTTTTTTATATTTCTTTATTTACAGCAATCAGAATACAAAGTATCCTATAAGCTATTGTGATAAATTTAACAAATACACACACATGCATACGTACATGCACACAAACATACTCACACGCACGTTAACAAAAAAAGAAATTATATAATAGTAACCACTTCAGCAAGTGGTATACTAGTAGGCTCAGGTCCTTCGGCCGTTTATTGGGAAAACTACGTATTTTAAGATCTAATGTTATGAAATTATCATATACACTAACATACGTACATACATACGCACAGACATTCACACACACACTCTCTCAATAAAAGATTTATAAATATTTAATAGAGGTCACTTCATCAAGTAATGTTCTGCTTAAATCAAATCACTCGGCCATTTCTTCTTCAGTCTTCTGCTGTTTGGAGTTGCTAACAGTGGCGCCATTAGTGTGTTTGGATGGTTTTCGAGCTTCCGGTGATGTTTTTCACTGATTGATTTAATGACATCATTAACGAACTGTATATTTAGATCGTTATGGATCATCTGATTAGTTACGTACCAGGGTGCTCCTGTGATCAAACGAGTAATTTTTGATTGCATCCGTTGTATACGAGCAATATTTGATTTGCTTGAGCAGCCCCAAATCTGAAGACCATAAGTCCACAACGGTTTAATTATCATATTATAAATAAGGACCTTGTTTTCAAGAGATAATTTGGATCTATGTCCAATGAGCCAGCCGAGTTCTTTAACTCGCGTTTTCATTTGCTTAACTTTAGTGCAAATGTGATGTCGCCAGGTGAGTTTTTCGTCAAAGTGAATTCCAAGATATTTGATGGTGCTGACTGTTGGAATTTGATTGCCATTTAAGAACACTGCAGGACACGATTGTTTGTTAAGAGTGAAAGTAATGTGGCTAGACTTAGACTCATTGATGCCTATGTTCCACAGTTTGGTCCAATCTTCAATCAAATTAAGATGATACTGCAGTTTTAAACAAGCAGTACTAGGGTTGTCATCAGTGGATAAGATTGATATGTCGTCTGCAAAAGTGGCGATTGTGGTAATAGATGTTGTAGGAATATCGCGCGTAAACAGGGTGTATAGGAATGGACCCAACACACTTCCCTGCGGTACCCCTGACTTGATAGGAAATACGTCAGACGACGAGGAATTAACCTTGATTATAAACTTTCTGTTGACAATATATGATGTTAAGATATTATGATACTTTACTGGTAAGTAGAGTCTAATTTTTGTGACGAGTCTGTCGTGGCACACTTTGTCGAATGCTTGTTTGACGTCCAAAAAGACGGCGGTGCAATATTGTTTGGATTCGAATGAGTTATAGATATGACTGGCAATCCTGTGACACTGCTGTATGGTTGAGTGCTCTTTACGAAATCCAAACTGGTGATCAGGGAAGATATTGGATTCCTTCAGAATATCTTGTAGTAACAGTTTTTCTAAAATTTTTGACAATATAGGAAGAAGGCTGATTGGCCTATAAGATGTGACTAAGTGTTGATCCTTGCCAGTTTTTGGAATCATCTTTATTAAAGAGGTCTTGAATTGATTTGGCCAGTAGTCAAGTCTCACAATAGCGTTGAAGATATAGGTGATTATAATGAATCCTTTTACAGGCAATTCTTTGAGCATTCTGGGAGATATTTGGTCTATTCCAGGCGATTTTTTTGCTTTAACTTTCTTTATTTCACAACTACTAATTTGAGAGACAAGAAACGTTTCTCGCTTTCGTGACTGCTATTATGGTCTAAAGCAGGACTAATGTTGACATTATAATTTGATAAATTGTTAGGCCGAAAAACTGTAGCTAAGTATTCCGCAAATATATCTGCTTTGTCTTTGTCACTTCTTGCCCATGCAGAGGTCTGGGTATCCATACGAACTGGAGGATTTTGAAAGTTAGGTTTAAGTTTATTTTTGACGGGTTTCCAGATAGAATTGTCAAAACGATTCAAACTGGATACATAGTTATTAAATCTCACTTGATTGAGTTCCTTTAACCTTGCTTTCAACTTGTTGCTCAGATTATTGAAAATGTTTTTGTCTGTGGGCAAATGACTATGTTGCCACCTACGCCTAGCTTTTCTTTTTTCTGCTATGAGCCTTTTTATTTCATATGTTGTTGTCTGGCAGGAGTTTTCTGTCGTAACAGGAGTAGGAGTAGCAAACTTTGCAGCATCGTATAGAAGAGTATTAAAGGAATCGATGGTGTTTTCGATATCAGCGGAATTTTTAAGTTTAACTTTGAGGTTAACTTTGTCTTCTACGAACTTCCGGTAGATGTCCCAGTTTGTTTTATGGTTGCAGATCCTAGAGGAGGGTTTAAAAATACTTGCCGAAGTGCTTATGCTGGCTATTACTGGACTATGGTCAGATGATAAGTCGTAGCTTGCTCGTACTTCTTTGTGAATTGAGCTTATACCCGATGATACAAAAAAATCCAATAGATCTGGTTTTTTGGCAGGATCGCTCGGCCAGTAGGTGGGGGAACCTGAAGAAAGAACACTATAATTGAGTTTATGTATTGTATCATATAGCTGTTTTCCTTTGGGATTATTTAATCTTGAGCCCCAATTGACGTGTTTGCTGTTGTAGTTTCCGCCGGCGATGAAATGACTACCTAGTGTAGAGAAAAAATCTTGAAATTGTAAACTGGTTATATTGTGCCTCGGCGGACAATAGACTGCAGAAACACATAAGTTGAATGAATTCATTTTTAATGAAATTGATGTGGCTTGCAAAATTTCAGATTCGTATTTATCCAGTTCGTAATGAAGAAGATTAGATTTTACAATAATGGCAGTCCCACCGTGTGCGGTGCCATCGGGATGGTTAGTGAAGTATGTCTTGTAATTTGGTATATAAAAGTTTGAATACTTGGTGAAGTGTGTTTCACTAATTAAAAAGATGTCGATATTGTTGTGTCTCAAAAATAATTCTACTTCGGCTTTGTGTTGATACAAGCCGTTAGCATTCCATAATCCTAAGTTTAAAATATTAGCCATTATTTAGCTTTATTAATGTTGATTAATGTTGATAACATTTTGACAATCATGGTGTTTTGTTCCATTAACTGGCTAAACATATTTCTAAATTCAGTCAGGAAATCAGACATCGATGGAGAATTACTGTTGTTAATGTGATTTTGATTGTTGTTAAATAGGTTTGATTGCGATTTTATTACCTGAGCATAAGACATATGCTGAGGATTTGCGTACTGAGAAATTCTATTGTTGTGAAGGTTGGATTTGTACCGGTTTGCATTTGTGTGTAAATAAGTCCCGTTACTTCTGCCTATTGTTGCTTGATCGTTATCTGCACCGACAAGGTGAAGGTAGTAAGAACACCCTTTGTAGTTTGCGGTATGATTATCGCCGCAATGATAACAAAGGGGCGGGGCTTCAGCTGCTTTGTACACTTTTTAGACTCATGATCAGAGCCGCATTTTACACATATAAATCTGCGGTTGCAATAACGCTGGGTGTGGCCGTACATTTGGCACCTTACACACTGCGGAATATTAGATGATCTTATTGGGGGCTCAAAATGAATTATTTGGTTTAACATTTTATTCATTTTAAAAATTGACGAATTGTTTTCTTTGGGTTCTAAGTCTATGTAAAACATGTTCAGCAATTGTTTAGTTTTCGGATGTATGATATTAGTAATATTTCTGACAGGATGACCTTCTTTTTCAATTGCGGCTTTGATATCATTTTTATCTGTGGCGTAGTGCAGATATTTGAGTACAACCCTGTATGAGCGTTCCGCTTTTATCTGGTAGGTATGAAAAACGACGTCTCTTTCACGCAGAAATTTAACAAAATTGCGGTAGTCTTCTATTTCAAAAATGTTGAATTTAATAGTTTTATTGGGTAGGTATTTAGTGATGTATTTGTTTTTATTAATAATTGAATTAATATCCGCTATCATAAGATTGTAATCTCGAACCCCGTAGACAAATAAAGGCGGAGGAGTAGATTTTTTATTATCTGTTGCCTCGTCTGATGGTTTAGAAACTTTGTTTTCTAGAGCGCTGAATTTGTTGGCTAATTTTATGGGAACGCTTTCATTACTTACTGCGTTGTTCGGGCGACGTCTTTTAGCGGAAGTTACCTCTTGCCATGGGTTTTTATTCGTGTAATCAATCACATCGCGTGCAGTGGACTCTGGATCCATTGTTGCTATTGAAGACAAATTACTTGTTGATGGAATGGGAGTTGGATCCGACGATGTTGATCTGTTTACTGCATCATCGTTATTTCTTTTTGTAGTCATCTGGTTCAGAACTAGTTGAGTAGAATTATTTTGGTCTTCGTGAATGATGTTAAATGATTCCACAATGGTAGTGGAGTGATAATTTATAGTACTCCCTGACGGGAGCACTATATTTAATTAAAAAGCACTGAATTCACAAGTAAAGTCACTTACTAGATCAAACACTACACTAAACTGTGACTAAATAAATGCTGTTTATTATGCTTGTTGATTGTACTCAGGTATTGTATAATCGATGTGTTTGCTTCGAGCGCTGAATGAAGAATGAGCTTTTCAATTTCATATTATAAAGTATTAAAATCAAAACAAAATTAGTCGCAAAATTGAAAAAAAAATCCTTAATGAGAAATAATTTTTTTCGAGTTAAATTTATGCTTTTTAATAATTATTCTGCATAATTTTTATTCATTGAATGAAAGTGGCAGAAAAAGAGTGACGATTGCTAAAATGACTATTACAAAATAGAGGTTTGTGGTAAAAGGGTAAAGATTTAGGGGTATATATGTCATAATTTCGAATTATAAGAAATAATAGAAAATGGATTTAAAAAATAACAAACAAATATTAAGGGTGGCACACTCTTGATCCGATTCTTAGTCATATTGAACATGATGATAAAATTACATAAAAAGTTCGATCAAGACGTTTCGGAGGAGAATTGTTACTAACATGACATGAGAACTATATAAAATGACGCTTTATCTTTCAATTTATTTAAAGATCTACTGGAAGATTAGAACTGTGCATTCTGCTGAGAGTGTAATAATTGTTTTAATTATTTTTTTGGGTTATAAAACAATGAACAATAGTCAACAAATTGAAAAGATGAAAATAATAAAAAAAACAGTGAATTTTGTTAGCTAGGTGGCCACGCTATGTTGTATAAATGTTGGTGTGAATGATAGTATGGGTCTATATAAAATTAGCTATATGGATGGATGATAATAACAAAATAATTTTTACTAATATAAATATATTAGTATCAGAGGAGCAGTCATAGAGAGATTATAGTGAGATACGTTATAGAGACGAATAATATAATAGTGGGATACGTTATAGAGACAAATAATATAATAAAAAAAATATTAGAGACAATCAATGAGTATTTAGACATAAAGTATAGGTATTATTATTAATAGAGACGTTAACAATTTTGTCAATTTTAATAATTTCATATTTATATTATTTATTTTCAGGTACCACGCTTCAAGGATGGTGAACTACGACGGCGCCCGAGGTTTTATCGTGACGGGCGAGAGAGGCGCTAGTGTGCTTACAGTTCCGGAAGCAAATAAAACGGTGCACAGCGGAAATTTCACTTGCGCGCCATCCAACGCCAGACAGGCCAGCATCACGGTACACGTATTAAACGGTAAGAAAAAATAAATGTTAATAAACCTATTATATTTTACTCAACTATAGAAGAGTTTGTCGATTGATTCATACCTACTCCAAAAAAAGAGCCAATACCTACTCCAAAAAAAAAAAATAGGTCAAAATACTTATAATTTTGCCTTTTTGCTAAACCGATGAAAATTATCTTATCGTACTGTAAAATGTAATGACATTAGATCAAATACTTTTCTTAGTCTATGTATCAACATAATACATGTTTAAAAAACATCATCAAATCAATGATTGAAATTATCGTCATACTATTTAATATTTATATGAATCTTAAGATTTGTTTAATTGAATCTTGTTAATGAAATATGCTCAGATACAAATAATTTAGTTTTTTAACAGTACCATAACCTGCTCTGAAAATGTCTTGAAACTTTTGAAACTTAAAAACAATAGAAGTATGAAACTATTGTCAGCTTATGCATGTTATGTCGAATTTATACTTTTATTTTGTTATATAGGTTAAGATTATTTATATTAGCTAATTTGGCAACGCTATGTTGCGGTCTTATCTTTGTATGAATTGGTAGTAATAAACTGTTAAAATACTATGTATTGGCTGTGCGATCAGACATTTCACATATGAAACCTAACCTACAAAACACAAAACGTTAAATAAAAATGTTATTATAAGTGCAACTTTCTGATGTATCTTTGATAACGTCTAATCGCACAGCAAGTACATAGCTTTTTAACAGTTTTTACTATCAATTCCTACAAAGATAAGACCGTAATATAGCGTTGCCATAACATTTTTATTTTATCAAAAAAAGTGCCATTAAAGTGAATATAGATTTTTTAAATTGTGTTTACCAGAAATGTTTTTAATATAAAAAATCACAATCAAACAAGGTTAATGGTATATTGTCAGAATTTGCGCGTTAAATTTATAATTTATACTTGAATTTTCTTTTGTTATGTAGGTTGATTAAGTCGTACTCATTAAGTAAATAATGCAGTAATATTGAGTGCATTAAATTAATAGAAAATCGTTGGTGTTTATTGAATATTCATTTACTTGACAAGAATTGCTAAAATTCGATTTGTTTTATTAAAATAGTAGTTCTCTGTTTTCATTTCTTAAAAATGAGAATTTAAATGCCTTAGCCGTACCGTTTCTAGCATTTTTGTGCTTACTGCGAAAAAAATATGTAGAATTTAGTCTGAGGTGAATCATACATTTTTAATTAACATTAAAAATCGAATAATGATTTAAAAAAGCCACGATTCAACTTATAAAATTATTAGGCAGTTATTGGTTACAGCCGCTTGGTGCTTTCCGAACTCAACCAAAAACTTATTATATTATAATTATCCATAATACTGTGACGAGATGAGGGTTAAAGCCCTTCATTTTGGGGTTGCAGTGACCGCCAATTAATTATCCTTTTGTCGACTATGCTTATTGTTGAATTTATCAAAAACGTCCATAAAACGATTTTATTATTCTAGTAGAAATGAGGAATTTCGGACAAGCACGAATTCAGCTGCAAAATTTTAGAAGTTTGAAAATGAAATTTTGGACAAATTGATCAAATTTTACATTTAAAATATGCCTACATAATTATCGTATTATCACCTCACAATTGAGTCACAAATATTGAAATATAATAGTTTACTCTATAATTGTTTCTGCTTCAAAAATTCGTCCGGCCTTTTAAATGTAAACGTTTGCTTGTTCAACTGAATATTTCTGTTTAACTATAACAAATGATGTAATTTTGAAAAATCGGATAAAATATATTAGGGGTTCAACTTAGACAGCTACGACTTGAGCAACTTCATCCTATCCTTACGTGTTTTACTCTATTACTTTATAAGCAAATTAGAACCATATAACTTACAACATAACTTCAAATGTAATTATTGCATAATTAGAAATAAAACATCCAGAAATTGACGTTAGTTGTCCATGTTATAATACCGATGATCGAAAGAAATTAAATCCATCACTGTGTACCGCAACTCATTTACAATATTTATGTATCACAGAATTCAACACCCAATTTTTGTACAAAATTTCTATTCTATTTTAAGTAACTTCACAATTGTCAGCAAACACTATGCCGAAATGGCGAGCAACAGTTTTATTAGAAATATTCGAGCTTTTCCGCTCTTCCGCAGCCACCATGAGCGCTTCATAACACGACGACAATTGCTCCCAAATATGCGACTCGACTTGCGGCAAAGTTAAATGGTCTGAATTCGTATGGAAAATATAAAGTGGCGGAATTCTACTTTATGAATTTCTCCTCAAGCAACGAGGAAGTAGTAACATATACTTCTCACCATCATGAGACTGTCTGTTTGGAACATTTGTATGCAGAGCGGTATACTAAATTTACTAATTAACACCTTGATCATAGTATAAACACTTGTATAAACTATGTAATAAATAGTATAATAAAAGTTCAATGGCAAAACTACAAGATACTTCCGTATCTCTTGACAGCTATTATAATTACGGCGAACGTCTTATAGCAATGCCTTCGAAAGGCGATTTTTAGGACGTTTTTTACGAGTTTAGGACTGTTTGTGTCAGCCCACGTTGTTAAACATTAAATTACGTCGCTTATAATTTATTATCAATGTAGTTCAATCGCATATGATTGGGTAGTTTGTATACTTATTTTTCGTGCAGTTTATTAAAATTAAATGTCCATTAAAAAAATAAAGTTTAACCTATATTAACAACAAAGTAGTAAACAAAAAATACTGCTATAATTTATTGTGCATAAATTCAAATTTAAAATAATTTGTATATTTTTTTCATAATGTTGGTCCGGTATGGATTCCTAAACTAGTGAACCGATCATAAATTTTATTGGTTCACTTTGTGCATTTATATTCAACTTAGGCTTAGGTAACATTAAAAATTTAAGTTCATATTCAAAATTAAATTAAAATTTTGAATTAATTTTGTCAATAAGAAAACAAACACTATGATATGATTTAGGTTTGATTCGCGTACCTTGTTCATTCATATGAATTCCAAAAAATTTTATAAACTAGTGGTGTGTATGGCATCGTGCCTTAAGGCAAATTGCTAGAACTTCCCATACCGTAACGAAATATTCAAGAAATATTAAATGTTTTCAAATAGATTATTATAAATATTGTCACATTGTCTAATATTTATAAGAATTATATAAACTGAAATGCAAAGTTAAACATATTTGTTTAAAGTACATTAGAACTTTAATCAGAATTACGATTAAAATCTGAATTATTTTCTAAATACAAAAAAAAATTGAGAAAAAAAATGAAAAAAAAAATTTGAAAGAAATTTTTTTTTCCAAAATCAATTATTTTGTCAAAACAAGCAGAAAGTTATTTGAATCATTCAAATCAGACGCTTAGTTCTCTCAAAAACTGCCATTTTTTGCACATTTAGCTCTGTATCTCCGAAATGGTTAGGCCTGCCTTTGTCAAAAACTAATAACCTCTTCTCTCAATTATTACTAATTGAATGTTTTTTAGATCATTCGATCATTCAAATCAAATGCTCCGTTCTCTCAAAAATTTTCAATTTCCATTTCCTGCACTCTTTGCTCCGTATCTCCGAAAAGGCTGGATCTGCCTTTGCCAAAAACTAATAAGCTCTTCTCCATATCAATGGAAATCAAATGTTTTTTGAACCATTCGAATCGGTTGATCCGTGCGCCTGAAAACGTGACTGGAAATTTGTATCCATACATACATACACACACACATACACACACACATCAATTTTTTCTGAGGTATGCCAAAATGTTCAGAAACCTTCAAAACGTTGAGAAATGTAAAAATTTTCAATTTCGATTTTCGGCCCATTACTATAACTTACCCTACGGGAATTTAAAAAAAGTATATGTAAAATTAGTATAACATTGAATAGAATTTCATATAAATTAAAAATAATGTAGGATGCTTGATGCTTTGGAAAAGACCATTATTTTTTAAAAAAAACTAAGAAAATGATTATTAAAAGGAAATAATCTAACATCAGCATATTTTTTTAAATTTCAGGTGAAAAACCAGCAGCAATGCAGCATGCAAACACAAGCACTTCGAGTTCAGAAATGATTTTTCCAAAATTATGGGCAATAGTTTCGACGTCTTTGTATCTCAGCCTAAATTCCAACAGATGAATTTAATAAAAATTCACTTAAAATTTCTTCAATGATATATCATTAACAGGTAACTAACTACTAACTGTGTACATTCTGTGTATATTTACGTGTATATTATATTGTATATATAGATTGTAAGATATTTTTGTATGGGATACATATAACTTTAGGTAGCGAATATATAAGTACAAATATATAATATTTGTTTGGTTGAATTGATTAAAAATTGGAAATATTACTTTATCAGTTCTTGGTACATTCGCAATTACTTTTCACAATATTCTTCTTATTTTTTTTTTTGTTGAAATTTTAAATAATTCGTGAAAATATTATTTCATTCAAATTATTTATCATCCATTGCGCGTATTATTACTAATATTAAATCAATAATATCAAAATGGGAATGTGCATTCAAAATTAACCATAAAATATAAATTAAAGCTCCAAATAATTGAATAGAATAAAATACATATCTGCTATATGTTTTCAATTGAAAGTAATAACATCAATGTGATTAAATTTATCAAAAATGGATAGATGCGCTAAATTAAAATTGCATATAATTCAGAAATATTTGATAAATGTTTTTTTTATTCAATTTTTCGATACCCGCATATCAAAATTTATCATTTTTGTGAAGAAGTTAATTAAAAAAAATAAATTTGGATTACAAACGATAGAAGTACCAACTATATGCTTTTTACATACAAACTAACAGATATTTCAACCAATTTGTTTTTTGTGTTGATACAGACGATTGCTATTATTATTTGCTCTAAATCGACTTAATTTTTTTTGCCAAAAACATTAAAATTTGATACTCTTATATTTCGGATTCTTTATTTTACATTTAAAATTGTGTCAATTATTTTATGCATATTCCCAAAACATTTCATATAATATTAGCTCAATCGTTGTAAATAATATCGTAATATCAAAAAATCAATTATATATTAGAAATAATGTATTAGAGTGGTTGTAAAAACAATGTTTGACTATGTATATTATCTTCCATGTTTTGAAAACTATATACATGTTAATTTATATGAGGTATGAAATATATCTTTTATTTATGAAATTATCCGTTGTATCATTTCAGGATAAAGAATTATTTACAGGCAAGTGCTAACTATTTATGTGAACAAAATATAAAGTGACATATTTGGAATCAGTTATTAAAATAATTACTAAAATTCTAAATTAACGTAGGCAGTTTTTTTCCAAGAATTATTTTCCAGTGGAAAGTTGATGAAGAGTTAAGGTAAATTTCATTTCAATTTTATTTTTCTAAATGAATTACCAATTATTATCGATTACAGAAATATACGATGATAATGAATCATTGATACATTTGATAAATAGTAAAGATAAGGTATTTTTAAAGCAAATGCCAGCTATTTTTTGGGTAAATAAAATTGTGACTACTGATTGAAAAAGCCATAAAACGATGTTACAATATTTATTAAAAAACTAACCAAATTAAATTAAAATTTAGAACTAACCAAGAATTTTTTAAGTGGGATTAATGGAGAAAAAATATCGGATTTTTGTACTGTAAATTGGCAATCATTTTTTTCTGGTCGACGATTGATTTGAAAAAATGATAAGATTGCATTTTAAACAATCAGTATATAGTTACGAGATTTATTTAAATTCAAAATTAATCAAAGCAGTTGTGTGCATAATAAGTTTTGTGAAGTGAAACGTTGATAAAGTGTAAAGGTAATTTTATCGGATTATTTGTGCTGGGAAATAAATTCCCGTCTATTGATTAATAAGATTATAAAATGATGTATAAAATCAGTGTATTATGTATAAACATAAGTGCAAAATTCGAAATCAATAGTAGCAGTTTTTACAACATATTTTTCAAAGTGACAACAGGTAAGTCATATTATAATTTATATATATATATATATATATATATATATATATATATATATATATATAAACATCATACTCATGAATTATATATATGATATATGATAGAATTAATACACTTACCTTTTCCGATCTCGTCCGAAAACTCCCAATTTGCAACACTGACGTCACTTTTGAATCGACTATGATATATTATAATGTTTCAAAAACTTGAAACGCGAGTTATTAAATTCACAAAAATTGTACCATATATACATCAATTGCAAGTTATTTAAAGCCGATACACAGAACAAACGAGTCTGATCAAAAAGCCGATTAAACACTAATAAAGATATTATTATTCACTTCAACACAATGTACACTTTCACCAGAATTATACATTATAATGTGATAATTTTTCACAACAAATATCTGATTATTATTTAATTATTAAAAGCGACTAAAATTTTTATACACTATTTATTTCATAAAATTTTTTGCACATAGTTCTTCAACGTAAAATACTGAAATGTTCTATAGGCCGCGTGGCATTTTGACCCAGGCGTCGTCGAGCGCCCGGGTCGCGCACCATGTTATTCTTACTAGATGCAAACACCAAATAAACATTGTCAACTACTAACAATAAAATCACGCAATAAATTGGCGCTTGACTGTATAATGTTGGTGTCAAATCAAAAATAAATCGATTGAGAAATTTTTTAGATATTGATGTTGTTAGAGAATAATCCGCCTGCAATTTATATTGAAATACTTTAGTGACATCATAATGGTTTGACAGTCTCACTTTGATCATTGAATATTTTACAATCAGACTTGATGAACACCATGCAGTTTTTTAAGCACTTCTATTATTAAATTAAGTTTGAAACTTAATATTAAATATCACCAATGGGACATAATTCATAGTTACAAAATATTCTAAATAACTTGACATTTTAGAATATATACTGCTTCTCATACAGATTTCAAATTTAAACAAAAAAGGTTATGTTATATACGCATGACGAATATATTCGCCAATATACAAAATTCTGTCACTTCAACCTGACGAGTATATTCGTAAATCAAAATTATCTAGTAAATTATAATTAGTCTGAAGAAAGAGGTATTTTTTGAGTATTTTTATATCATGATATTTTTTCTTATAAAATTGCATGGCCATAAGGATTCGAAATAGAATATATAATTATAATTAATTATAGTAGCATTCATTTAATTATTTATTTAATAGGAATAAAACATTTTAGTACGTCAATTTTTCTTATGTTTTTTTAATGGTTAGAAAAAATTTTTATTTTCTAGATAGTAAAAACTGATCAATTACTTTAACATTTTTTTAAAAATTAATATCTTCAAAAAAAATCTTTTTTTTATATTAAATACAAATTTTATCTGTTTATTAACATTAATTTTCCTAACTAAAATAATTAACAATATAAATCAGCACCAAAATAGTTCATATATAAATCAGCAAGTTTTAAAAATATTAGTAATTATTAATATTAATAATTTTATAATTATTAATAATAATTATTTTTATTAGATGTTCGATTTCAAAAAAAAGAGTAATTTACTGATTTTAACCCGATTTTATGGAAAAAGGAGTAGGTATATTTTCAAAATTTATGATTAAATCATTAAATAAGTCGCACTTGTGGCCCAGAATCAGATATTCTTGGTTGTATTTTGTGGTAAATCAAGACGGATAATTTGTGAAATCTGTAAATGAATCATTAAGTTAAAATTGAATATCAATTTCAAGTACTAAGTTAGGATTTTTTTATTTTAAAAGCCAATTTTTGAAATCTGCAAATAAATAAAAAATATTATAAATTTTAAGTACCAAATTTTATTCTCTTTGTACAAGGTTAATATCTATACCCTTACGTTAAAGATAATTTTAAAATAATTATAAAAATTATATAAAATATATTAGATATTTTGTGTATACACAATTAAGCTTAAAATTCTAACAAGAATTGATACACCGTTATCCGTAAGAAATTATTATTAGAACAATTATCGTTAGATTCTAGATTTATCATAGAAGTTGATTTAACACTTTTTAACATAGAAATTATATACACTTATTACAATATTTATTATTATCAACGTCATTATATTAAAATAAATGTTTAAAATCCATATAAAATTATTTAAATTTGATACACAACATTTTATACGTACAACATTTTTGGCAACACTCAAAATGCATATGCAAAAAAATTAACAATATATTTTTGCACATTGCAATTTATAAAATAGAAATTACATCAGCAATACAAATTTTACAAAAAGTCTGTAACTATATATATAAATTTTTAAAAATGTTTACGTTTGTCATTGAAAATCACACAATATCACATAAAACATGTCGCACTAAATCGTTCGACTTTTCACAAATCGCGTTTACACAGAGAGCTTTCAATCATAATATTTTTTAATCCATTTTAAAATAATTTAATTTTTAATATCAGATTTAACTGCTTTTACCAGTTTCTATTCAATTTTTGTTGTATATATAAAAATATACATACACAACATTGAAATAGTTATTTTATAGGATGATAAATTTCTAGAACTCCCTGAACTCGTATTCGCATGTTGCATTGCAGCTGGCATTTCACCTGAATAAATTAAATATTTTGTATTTAGTTCGGTTTATTAAAATTTAAATGATCATATTGTAGGTATTAAATTTTAATTAAGCGGAATTAATTATTAGAAATGAACTTGTTTACCTTAGAAATTAGAAATACAAAAATGCGGATAGATTTTTTACGGAATTATTTTAAAAATATAGGAAGGAAATATATTTATGAATTATATTACTTCAATTTAAGTTAAAAATAATAGAATAAATGAAAATCTTACCATTTAGAATGTGTACTGCAATAGATGCTGGTCTTGCATTAGAAGGTGCACAAGTATAATTTCCATCATGCATCGATTTATTGGCTTCTGGGACTGTTAAAAGACTAACATCCTTTTCATCCCTCACAATAAAGCCTAGATCAATGTCATAGTTGACCATTCTTCCTGAATGATACCTACAAAAAACAAAATTCCCACATTCCTAATCTTTATAATTGATCAAATCAATGATTGCAACTGTGGTCTTATAATTTTAAGAGGAATCATTGATTTTTTTTATATGCATCTACTGTAGTTCAAATGTTCAATTTAGTTATAAAATT